CATTAGATCATTGGGATTCTGCTCTTGGAAGGGATTAAGGTAGTTCTCATGGGACCATGGTTAGTTTCCATGAGAGTGGACTGTTATGAAATGACCACACCTGGGCCCTGAATCGCTCTGGCTTCCTGTCTGGCCATGGGGTCTCTCTCTTGCCCATGCTTCTGCCATGATGCCATCCGCTATGTTGTGATGCAGCCAAGGGGAGCCTCACCAGAGCCAAGCAGACACTGATGCCACGGGTTTGGAGCTTCAGAACAGTGAGCTCAATGAACCTCTTCCCTTTATAAAGCAACCAGCCCCAGGAATTTTGCTATAGCAACAGCAAACAGACCAATGCACCTGCTGAAACCTTGATTTTTAGACTTCTCTCTTTTTATTTTTTAATACGTAGTAGAATACTTTATTTAACAATTGCAGATCATCCCCTGGCCGAGTAAACGGGACATCCAGGACCCAGTTGCAAGATTAGCACAGCCTTCTGGCCTCTCACTCTGACTCTAGCAGGATCGCCCTTGTGCAGGGACCTTTCACATTGTATGGTCCCTGCCAGCTTAATGGGTTGTACCACGTGTCCATGGTGGCAGCGCACGGTGGCTGGGTGGAGATGATGTCAGACTTCTCACCACCAGAATTGCAAGAAAGAAGGGTCTGTTATTTAAGCTAGCTGGGCTGTTCCTGTCACCTTGTCACTGGTAAACTGTAGCATCTGAATACAGCACGGGATTGAAGTGGTCTAACTGGTGGGCACGCAGGGTTCTTTAGCTCAGGTGCTATGGCAAGTACATTTGCTCTCTTGGTGTGGTGTGTGACTGTGAAGTTAGGTGCTGCTCCTGCTATGGGATGCAAAGGAAAGAGACTGAGAGCAGAACAACAAAATAGCTGGAAAGGAGTGGAGTCAAACCAGGCCCGAGGCCCAGCCTGGCACCAGCTCTTCCAGTTGCATGGGCCAAGAAATCTCTTTCTTGCTGATGGAGTTTCCATTAGCAGTAACCTGAAGGTCCCCTGATGGAAAAGCCTAGGCTTTTTGTTTATGGGCACAGGAAGAAACTACCCTCAAGAAATCTTAGTCAATAGGCCTGTGTGTTTTATAAGTTTAGCTTCCTAAGGCAAGGAAGTTTTATTGCCCAAGAAACGGAGGGAAATGAAGCCTTTGTGTTTTGAGGGTTGGAAAGAAAATTAACCCAATTTCAAGCATGGGTTTGCCACGTGGTCCTAGCAAAATGGCTTGGGAATTGTCCCAAGGCTGAGCCCACACTGCTTGGTGATGGAACTGCTGAGGGGTGGGGTCTCTGGCCAAGTGAAAGCAGGAGAGGACTGAGCAGGGCCGCTTTGGTGCAGTGGTTAAGGCAATGCTTGGGATGCCCGCATCATACATCAGAGTGCCTGGGTTTGATTCCAGCCTCTTGCCATGGCCGAACCCTGGTCATTGCAGGCATTTGTGGAGTGGACCAGTGGATAGGAGATTTCTCTTCATTTCTTTCCCTTTCTGCCTCTCAAATAAAATGGAAAAAAAAAAAGGCTTGAGCAGTTAGGGCAACCAAGGCTGGGGTGAGGATGCTATAGTGACCAACCCATGGAGGTAGCTGCAGCCCAGTCTGGAGGCTTGTCTGTGTCTGGGGCAGCCATGCAGGTCCAAGGGAGGTGGTTAAATGCAAATTCTCAGAGCATACGTTAAAGTCGCTGAGTCAGAACCCCCAGGAGCATGACCTTGGCACAAGCATTTCAGGAAGCTTCATGGCTGATTCTAAGGTGAGTGCCACATGAGAATCCATGCCTTGGAACACAGCGAGTGTTGAGCTAAAGACTTTTAATCCCCAGCCATACAGAGGCTGGCTGAAAACAGGTAGCAAGAAAACCCAGGGTCAGGATGCCATCAGATCCAGAAACAGGATGCCTGGGCCACTGCCTTGGATCTTCACTCATGGGTCAGGGTGGAAATCAACATAGTTAATCACCAGTGCTTCTCCTTCTTTTTAAAAACATTCATACATTTATTTGAAAGGGAGAGAGAGAGAGAGAGAGAGAGAGAGAGAGAGAGAGAGAAATCTTCAATCTGCTGGTTCACTCCCCAGAGGGCTTTAACAGCCAGGAGCCAGGAACTTCTTTCAGTTCTTTCACATGGGTGGCAGGGGCCCAAGCACCTGGGCCATCTTCCACACCTTCCCAGGCACATTAGTAGGGAGCTGGATCAGCAGTGGAGCAGTCAGGACATGAAGTGGTGTCCATACGGGATGCTGGCATTGCACATGGTGGCTTAACTTGCTATGCCGTGACGCTAACCCCTAATGCTTCTTTATATTAAGACCACCTGTGGTGCTGCTGACACCCTCAGATGTTTCTCCTAACTCGTTGGATTGCCCCATCGGTTGTGGGGTGATGGTGTATGGTGCCAGTACCTTCGTGTTGGGGTCATTTGGTCCATGTGACACACCTCATCACAGAGGGTGCCTGGTGGCTGACATGCCCCTCTCCTGTCACTGTTTGTGAAGTTGGGCAGGGAAAAGACTTTTCCCACCAATGGGTACAGACGAGTCCCTGATTACTGAGTAATTAGACTTCTCCAGCGTCAAGCTGAAGAGTTAGGGGAGATAGGAAACACCTGACTTCTCTCTTTGGCTTTCCCCTCCCCGCCTCCCGAATCTGGTTTGAATAGGGTTTGGCTTCCAACCTCACACAGTATTTCAAGACTAAGGCCCAGTCATAAGCTGAAGGTATTGAGAGTGTGGAAACTTAATCCAACTTTGATGTTTAGGAGGTGGGCTTCGTGGGAGGCCCCCACCTCACGGGAAGGGGGCATGTTCTTGGAAGGTAGGGCTCAGGAGAGGGTTGGTTATAAAGCCTGAATCGGGGCCCAGCTGCTTGTTCCTGGCTTCCTGGCTTTGCTGTGGGATCCTCACCCTGCACCGTGAGACCCATCTGCTCTTGGACCATGAACCTCCAGAACTGTAAGTCAAAATAAACCTTCTTCCTTCATAAGTAGCTTGGCTTAGGTATTAAGTTGTAGTAAGAAAAAGCTGACCGGGCAGGCGCCGCGGCTCACTAGGCTAATCCTCCGCCTAGCGGCGCTGGCACACCGGGTTCTAGTCCCGGTCGGGGCGCCGGATTCTGTCCCGGTTGCCCCTCTTCCAGGCCAGCTCTCTGCTGTGGCCAGGGAGTGCAGTGGAGGATGGCCCAGGTGCTTGGGCCCTGCACCCCATGGGAGACCAGGAAAAGCACCTGGCTCCTGGCTCCTGCCATCGGATCAGCGCGGTGCGCTGGCCGCAGCGCGCTAGCCGCGGCGGCCATTGGAGGGTGAACCAACGGCAAAGGAAGACCTTTCTCTCTGTCCCTCTCTCTCACTGTCCACTCTGCCTGTCAAAAAAAAAAAAAAAAAAAAAAAAAGAAAAAAAGAAAAAAGAAAAAGCTGACCGGTAGAGCCTGGGAGACTTCAGTGTTGGGAGAAATCCTAGCCCGGGCTGCAGACCCCTCTGTGGCTCACCTGCTCGCTGTATGATTCCTTTAGTCCTGAGTTGTTATCCTGGAAAAGCACTGCAGACGTAACCACAGCAAAAGCTTTGAAAAATGTCATTAGGAAGAACACAGGTTGGAACTGGAATTAAATCCTGTTGCAGACGTCACCATTCTCTTATGCAAACCTGGGTTGTTTCGTGGTTCTTCTTGGACTTATTTCCTGATTTTAAAGAGTTATCAAATGTTATTCTCCAGGACTTCCAACTTCAGTGTTGGTATTGTCAACTTAAGTCTCTCTCCTGGAAGGCCAACGGGGATAAACTCTTTAATATTGTATTTTTTCTTTTTTACTGTTTGTTTCAATGTTTTAAGTTCTCATTTATAAAATGCTTCTCTTTTCTATCACAGGGAAATTAACCACTTAGTCATCTGTTTCCACTTGCCTCGTTAAATCAGTTGCTGAACCTTGATTGGCTGAAAGGATTAGCCAATAGAGTCCCTTCTTGTAATTTAGCCTGGTTTTGGGGACTTCTCTGAAGGGAATTTTTAGTTTATTGGGGTTTTACAGCTGAAATTCTTTGCATTAATTGAGAGGAAAGATGCAAACAGACATAGTTTACTCAAATTATTTCGTGTTCCCTTTTGAGTTGATACAGTAGTTGGAAAAAAATAAGCTCTCCTACTTAAAAATACTCCCTCAGTCTAAATATTTACATGTGTATATTTTACTAAATTTCAGTCTTTTTCCATTACGTGGAATAGTTTTCATTCCTGGTGTGCAATCCTGTTAAATTATCATCCTCAAACTTAACCATTCTAATCATTTCCTTGGGGGTTGATTTTTAATCTTCATGTGAGTCTATTTTTTTAAGGAATAATATGATTTTACTTCATTCTAAGACTTTAAAAATATAATCTGAGAATATTCAAAAATTTTAGAAAAAAAGTAAAAAGATAAGTTTATTTTGGTGCAAAAAAAAAACATAAAAATGATGTATAGTTTTTTTTCCCATAATATACCTTTTCCAAAAACTTTTTGAAGACCCCTTCTATGGTAAAAGAGGTTGAGTTACTGTGATAAAGGTTTGTTTTAAACACACCTTATGGTATAAAACACGGTTTCTAGGCAGGTGCATTTTAGGTATGAAACCCTCCCCTCGGGGCTCTAATTGTGATGCTTCCCGCAGCTGTTTCACTTCCAAGTCAGCGCCTTGCTAATGTACCTGGGAAAGCAGAAGCTGGCCCAAGTCCTCAGGTCCCTGACGCCTATATAAGAGACCCAGATGGAGCTCCAGGTTCCTGGTTTCAGCCTGGCTCAGCCCCAGCTGAAGGGGCCATTTGGGTGTGTGTGTGAACCAGTGACTAGAAGAGCTCTTTCTCTCCCTCTCTCTGTAACTTTGCTTACCAAATAAGTAAAACAATAATAAATCTTTAAAATTCTCCCCTCTGTAGTTATGGAAAGGCATGTTCTGAAAAATACCATATATGAAGGGTGCTGGTGCTAGAGTAGATAGAAAAAAGACAGGGCCACTTCCTTTGTGGTCACGTACCTGCGGGTGCTGCTTGGGAACTGCAGGTTCTGTTATCCATAGCTCCCAGCTTTCCCATGGCTCTTGTACAGGCTCTGCCTCTGCAGGAAGAACAAAGGTTCACCTTCTCGTGGCTTGTCCATGCTTCTGGATTACATGCAGGTGCAGTCCAGCACGGGTTCCTTTACCCTTAGTCTCTACAGCAGGTGTCCTCAAAATTTGGGTGTAGCAGAGTGATCTGAATGACCCACAGAGCTTGGTATAATGCTGATTTTTTTTTTTTTTTTTTTTTTTAGCTCCCATCGCTGAAGTCTCTGACTCAGCAGATCTCTTACAGAGATGGGACAGTTGCCTTTTTAGCTTGAATAGCAACACGAGAAATTCACAGATGTATACATTTGTGTATTAAGTTTAATGGGTAGATAAGCAGGCAGTTAATACCTGAAATAACCTAATCAGCAATACCTAGCCAGGAGTGGTGCTATCTAAACCTCACATGTGTGTTGGGGATGGGACGAGTTTGCTAACTCAGCTGCTGCCTCCGCTGTTATCTTCAACATGGGAGGATTTGTTAAGTAGCATAGCAAAAAAATTTTCATTGGTGAAATGAGCAGGGCTCAAGATGGGTGGGTAAGGCATAGCACGCAGGTAGCCCAGCCCCAAACCATTTTATTCTCTGTAGACCCTATCGTCGCTCCAGGAAATTCTCCAAGGTCCATGGCTCTAAGTCCCATCTATTTTATACTTCTTGTCCTAATTTCTTCCAAAGTGCCCAATGAACATACAGCTTCTGTACTGATGGACCCAACAGGGCCCCAGACAAAATGCTTTTGTCTGGCACACCTGCTCTTTTTTTTTTCCACCTTGGTCAATGGCACTCTTCATTTACCAAGTTTTTAAGGTTGGAATCAACCATCACTCCCCTCTTTGTCTCACAATCCTCATCTAACCCAACAAGTTTGAACTGCAAAATTCTATCCTGAATTCAACCATTTCTCTTTGACTTTTTTAAAGATGAATTTGTTTATTTGAAAGGCAGAGTTGCAGAGAGAAAGATCTTCCATCTAATGGTTCACTCCCCAGATGGCTGCAAGGGCCTCAGCTGAGCTGATCCAAAACCAGGAGTTTGTTCTGGGTCTCCCACGTGGTGCAGGGACCCCAGAACTTGGGCCATTTTCTACTGCCTGCTGGATTGGAAGTGGAGCAGCCGGTACTTGAACCAGCACCCATATGGGATGCCAGCACTGCAGGCAGTGGCTTTACCTGTTACATCACAGCGCTGGCCCCTTCTCTATAATTTTTAAAAAAGATTTATCTGTTTGACAGGTAGCATGAGGGAGGAAGGGAGGGAGGGTGAGAGAGCACCAGATACCATCCACCTGCTGGTTCACTCCCTGCATCCCTGCAACAGCCGGGTGTGGACCAGGCCAAAGAAAGAAACTCCATGATCTCCTATACAAGAGGCAAGAGCCCAAGCCCTTGGGCCATCTTCTACCTTCCCAGGCACATGAGTAGGAAGCTGGATTGGAAGTGGAATAGCTGATGAACTGACCTGCACTCTGATACGGGATACAAGCATCCCAAGTGGCAGCTTTACTCAGTGCTCCACAATGTGGGCCCCACGGAGAGGGACCTTGCCCCAGACTGAGGTCCTAGTGCTCGGGCGTCTGTCCAGAGGCAGGTGCCTTAAGCACTGTGTCAACGGTGCTGGCTCACTTGAATTCCTGTTGCTGTAATCCCAAACACTGACATCTCTGGCCATCTTGGATTCCTGCAGTGGCCTCAGTCCTTGCTATCTACTTCCCTGTGGGCTCTCCTAAATGCAGAAATTACACTTGAAGCAATAAATAGGATTGTGTAGGTCTCTGGGTTACAGCAGTCTCCCTGACCCCAACAGATCTCCATAGCATTAAAATGGCCTCTAAAGTCTCCATCACGACCTAGGAGACCTTGAATGATCCCTAATGTGAGCATCTTGTGTGACCGTGGGATAGCCAACACTGAGAGGTGGACACAGATGCAGTACTGTTAACTAAGGACTTCTTTTGAGGTATCACCAGCTAGGCCGGCGCCGCGGCTCACTAGGCTAATCCTCTGCCTAGCGGCGCCGGCACACTGGGTTCTAGTCCCGGTTGGGGCGCCAGATTCTGTCCTGGTTGCCCCTCTTCCAGGCCAGCTCTCTGCTGTGGCCAGGGAGTGCAGTGGAGGATGGCCCAGGTGCTTGGGCCCTGCACCCCATGGGAGACCAGGAAAAGCACCTGGCTCCTGGCTCCTGCCTTCGGATCAGCACCGTGCGCCGGCCGCAGCATGCCGGCCGCGGCGGCCATTGTAGGGTGAACCAACGGCAAAGGAAGACCTTTCTCTCTGTCTCTCTCTCTCACTGTCCACTCTGCCTGTCAAAAAAAATAAATAAATAAAAAGAGGTATCACCAGCTTTCCTACTAGTGTCCTTTTTCTGTCTAGATCCCATCCAGCATTGCAGGATACAATCAGTCACCATGTTTCCTTACTGCGGTCTCTGTCAGTGTCTCAGTCTGATCATGGCGACCTCGGTGGCTTTAGACAGTACAGGCAAGGTGTTTTTTATGGACTATCCCATGCTCTGTTTGCCGCTGAGGTCAATGAGATAAGATGACAAAATGGAACCGAAACTCTCTAGTCCTGAAAAGGGAAAACAAAGCCCATTGACTTTCTCACTGGTGCTTACCTGCTGTGGGTTTCTGATCATACAATCAGACTGGGGAGTAGGGAGACTGGGAGACAAAGGACTGGTAACTAAGAAGCCTGTTCAGAGCCCCTCTCCAGAAACGCCCACCCAGCGTCATTGGCAGTACTTCTACACCATGACCGTAGACACGGAACTGCCTTGATTAGCTTACGCAGATCCACTTCTCTGAGTCACGGCTGTGCGTGGGAGAAAGTAAAGTAGGGTCAGGAACAGGAACCGGGTAGGGAACGCGCTGTTATGGAGCCTCTGTATTCTATAAATAGGCAAAGGTCAAATGAGGCATGGCCTCCTGGGGGTGCAGCATATCAGAAGTGTGACACTTTGCAAAACATGGGTAAGAAAATGGTAGTAGATGACTGAAATTACTTAGCGGAAAAGGGGAATGAACCGTTGGCACGCGCAACATGGTGGATGAATCTCAAACATGCCAAGTAAGAGAAGCTTGACAGACGGCGTGCTGTGTGATTCTAAACGACCTTCTGGAAAAAGGCAAAGCCAACAGGGACAGAAAGCAGAGGGGTGTTCAGGAAGGACGGCAGGTGATCCGAGGCCACCATTCTACAGCTGAAAACATCAGACTTCTCCTGGGTTGCGGGCGACGGTGTGGCACGGGGTGGAATGACCAGCTGGGAAAACTTCATTTTCCCCACAGGTTGTAGTTCTGTTTTGAGGAACAGGGTCATCTGGCCAGGCTTTGGTTTGGGCAAATGAAACAAGTTTCTATTTTTTTATTAAAATTTTCATGGTCTATATATAAGGTACTTTTTGAGGTACAAATCTAAATGATTACATTTTCTGTCTAAGGCCAGAAAACAGAGGCTTGTTGGGAGCTGGGAGTAGAGGGAGTGATTCCATTCAAAGGGGAATGAGGGAAATTTTTTTTAATCTTTTGGCCGATACCTTCCTATTTCCATTTCTCCCTCTGGTAACCACCATTCTACTCTGTTGCTGTGAGTTTGAATTATTTTAGATTCCACATTTAAGAGATCATGCAGTATTGTCCTATCATGTTTGTCTTATTTCACTTAGCAGAATGTCCTCCGTTTCATTCACATTGACTTAAGTGACAGTACTTTCTTTTTAAAGGCTGAGTAATATTCCAGTGTGTGTTTGTCTCGATTTCTGGATTCATTCCTTGATGGATACTTCAGTTTCTGTGTCTTGGATATTGTGAGAAATGCTGTAGTGAATGTGAGAATGCAGATAGGTCTTCAATACACTGATTTGATTTCCTTTGGGATTACTGGGCCCTAGCATGTTTGCATTTTTAATTCTTGGAGGTGCCTCCATACTGTCTTCCCTAGTTGGCTGTACTAATTCATACTCCCACCAACAGTATACAAGAGTTCTCTCTGCTCTACCTTCTGGCCAGCACACTGGTTATATTTTACCTTTTTTCACAGAACCCAATATAGAAGTTGTGATGTGACACCCCATTGCAGTTTTTTGTTTTTTAATGATTTATTTATATGAAAGGTTGAGCTAGTGTTAGAGTGAGCTGCCATCCACTTGGTCACTCCTCAGATGCCTGCAACACTTGGGCTGGACCAGGTTGAAGCCAGGAGCCCAACAGTCCATCTGGTCCTCCCACATGGGTGGCAGTGTGCCATCACCTGAGGCCTCCCAGATGCTTCAGCAGGAAGCGGGATAGGGAGTGAGGTAGCTGGGACTGCAACTGCATCTACACTCGGATGCTGGAGTCCCATGACCGACTTAACCTGCATCACTATGCCTGCCCTCCTCATTGTGGTTTTGATTTGCATATACCTGATGAGGGATCCTAAGTACTTCTGCAAACACATGTTGTCCATCTGTTTGCTGTCATTTGAGAATTATCTGTACTTTTTTCCCATTTAAAAACTGGGTTGTTTTCTTGCTACTGAAGTGAGTTCTGTATCTTAGAAATTATCTGATGGACGGCTTAAATATTTTCTCTTATTTGGGCAGTTGTCTCTTTACCTTGTTCATGGTTTCCCTTGCAGTGCGGAAGCTTTTTGGCTTGACACAGTCCCACTTATTTATAGTTAATTTTATTGCCTGAGCTTTTGGGGTGATAACTTAAAAATCTTTGCCTGGACAAATGTCAAGGAGAATTTTCCCCATCTTTTTTTGGTGGGAGTTTCATGGTATTAGGTCTTAGATTTGTCTCTAATCCATTTGAAGTTGCTTTTTATGTTTAATATAAGATAAGGGTTCTGTCTGATTCTTTCACATGTGGATATCCAACTTTAACAACACTGATTTAAGAGACTATCTTTTCCCAATTGGGGTTTTTGGTACCCTTGTAAAAAATTGACTGTATGTATATTAAGTTGATTTCTGGGCCTTTTATGCCAGTTCTGTGGCTGTTTTCATGCCAGTACCATATTGTGTTGATTATTGAAGCTTATAAAAACCACATATAAAAATGAGTTGTTTCTTTACAACAACGATGATCTATCAGAAAGAAAAAACCTGGAAAAAAAATCCTATTTATTAAAGTGCCAAAAATGCATAGAAATTAACTTAACCAAAGGGATCAAAGATTGGCACACTGAAAACTACAGGACATTGATGAAAGTGAGGAAGGCATAAATAAAGGAATTGGAGGAATTAATATTGTTACAGTGTTCATATTACCCAAAGTGACCTACAGATGCAGCACAATCACTATGACTACTTGAACAGAAATAGAAAAATAAAATTCACAGGGAACCACAGAAGATCCTGGAGTGCCAAAGCAGTTTTGAGAAGGGAAAACAAAGTTGGAAGCATTACACTTCTTGATTGCAAATTAGATTTCAAATTTCATTTTTATGTTCCTTATAATATCAATGAGGAATTGGCAAACACAGAACTCAACAGAGGGCAGAGAGCTCCCTGGGAGCTGAGCTCTGGTTCTTAAATACCCACATCAGGTCTTAAATTAATTAAAATGTGGTTTTCCCTAAGATGAATGCTTTGGCATGTTAAACAGGGGGTATCATGCATTCAATTTTAGTACCTTTATATTTTTGGCTCCTTGAGGTCTAAGAGGACTGACTTTGGATTCAGGTTGTAACAGACACATAGAGATTCAATAAAGGATCCTTCCTGGATTTATTTCTCTACCTATTTCCCATGGTCCTGATTTGGCCAGGGAGTGCAGTGGAGGATGGCCCAAGTCCTTGGGCCCTGCACCCCATGGGAGACCAGGAGAAGTGCCTGGCTCCTGCCATCGGATCAGCGCGGTGCGCCAGCCGTAGCGCACCGGCCGCGGCGGCCATTGGAGGGTGAACCAATGGCAAAGGAAGACCTTTCTCTCTGTCTCTCTCTCTCACTGTCCACTCTGCCTGTCAAAAAAAAATACAAAGCACTTAAATTCTTGGAAAAATGGAATTAAAGAAGAAGTTTGTTTGCCTTCAAAAACTGTTGACATCCCTGTGCAGTGTTTGAGAGGGATTTTCCACGAGGTTTCTGAAGACCTCCATCTAACCAGAACATGTATTTTCTTTGATTTTTGCCTTGTGTCAAATCCTCACCTAGAACCTTGGCTTTTATGAAGGCTGAAGTGCAGAGGAAACAGTTCTTAGCTCTTGAAGACTTCACTGGATGGTGAGGAAAAGAGTTTGAGGAAAGGCAGCAGCAACCACTGGATGTCACAAATGCACAGTTCTGGGGAGTAGGCCTCAAGGGACCTGAACTCATGACCTTATCCAACCCCACTGTCACACATGCACCACAAGCATCAACACTAACATTCTTTCTACCTTTGCCTGCCAATGCCGTTATTGAGAATAACTGCCAACTGCTTCCATTCTTCTATTCAATTTTCCACCTGGCTTGAGAGCTGTAGCACAATCAGTTCTATTACATGCTTTCCTGCAGCCCCTCGCTTGGCAATGAAGTAATCAAAAGATCCAAGCTTGTACCTATGAATGCACTTCATTTCATATCCAAGCTGCGTTTCAGGAAAGAGCCTGGTGTGCAGCACCCGCTTCATAGATAATCGACGAGGGAATCGATGAAACGTTGGTCTAGATCACATTCTCACAAATGGAAAGATAAAGATTGACTCAAACTTTCAGTACAGCTGTCAGTCAGCTGATTGTTTTATTTCTAAAGTTAATTTGAAGCAGAGAGAGGGACAGGGCTCCCAGCCACTAGCTCACTTTCCAAGTGCCTACAACAGTGGAAGCTGGCCTGGGTTTTGGAAGCCTGGGGCTGGCAAGTCAGCGCAGGTCTCCGATCGGAGTGTCAGGAACCCAGATGCTTGAGTCGGCACTGCTGTCTCCCAGGCGCTGTCGGGAGGGTGGAGCCAGAGCCACGTTTTGAACCCAGTAATCCAATGTGGGACATGCGTATCTTAACTGCTAGGCTAAATGCCGGTCCTGTTAGTTAATGCTTAAAGGAAACTCATGGTGAATACTTTGGAAACATGAAGATACACACATATTCTTGGTAAGGAAAAAAATTTTTAAAATGTAAGATTACTTTACTTTGAAATCATTTTAAGTTACAAAAGTCAAAGAGCTCTCCTGTTGTCATCATTCAGTTGATCACATTTCTAAACCATCTGAAAGGTGTAAAGTGACACCCTGACACTGCTTCACAATTCAGTGTGTGTTGTTAAAAACAAGGACCTCTTCTAGGTGACAGGAACATAATCCCAACATTGGGAAAATAACATTGATCCAACTCGGTGAGTCTGTTAAAATCCATTGAAACTGTGATAATTATGCCATTGATACTCTTTCTTAGATTTCACTTAGGATCACCTATTGTATTTCCTTCCTTGTCTCCTTAGTCCCCTTTGATCTGGAACAATCCTGTCTATCATAGCCTGGATGTATGGGCCAGTTACTTGAATTGTCCTGAATTTGCATTTGCCTGGTGCTTCTTCATGACTTAAGTACTTATACATAAGATACAGTGTTCTTAGTATATCAGGAGGCAGTACAAGATTGACTTCTCTTGTTGCTGGATTTTAATTATGTAAAATTTTACTAATTAAGTTGGCATTTCCCAGGTATTACAGTTAAAATGTTAATAAGTATGCTGTATTAATGATTTAATGAGTATTTTTACGGATGTATTTTGAAACTGAATATCCTGTTCCTCATCAAACTTTTACCCACAAATTTTAGCATCCATTGATCATTCTGGCTTGAATGAATTTTAATGTGGTTGCCAAGTGGTGGTTTTCAAATTCTATCTTCCCTTCTTCATATATTACTACATTCTTCTACTGAGTTCCTTTCTCCTCTATGAGCATGAACTAATGTATTCCTATTTTACTTAAAGGTTTGTTATCTATTACTGTCTTTAATTATTTTGATTTCTTAAACTGTTTCAGATTTGGCCAGGAGGAACCCCTTCAAGCTGACTTTTACAACCCTTGGACATGCCTCCATAATTCTTTAAAGATTTATTTTATTTGAAAGGCAGGGTTACAGAGAGGCTGAGGCAGAGGGAGAGGGGGAGAGAGGGAGGGAGATGTTTTCCATCCTCTGGTCTACTCCCCAGATGGCCACAGCAGCTGGAGCTGACCAATCGGAAGCCAGGAGCTTCTTCCCAGTCTCCCACATGGGTGCAGAGGCCCAAGGACTTGGGCCAACTTCCCCTGCTTTCCCAAACCATAGCAGAGAACTGGATCAGAAGTGGAGACTCAAACCAGCACTCACATGGGATGCCAGCACTGCAGGCCAAGGCTTTACCTTCTACGCCACAGCGCCTGCCCCCTCCATAATTCTTTAAGAACAGTTGTTCCTTTGTGTCCCTGGTTCTGGAATGCCCTATGAATACCAGAATCCACGGACACACAAGTCTCTTATATAGTGTACCATTTGCATATAACATGCACGTCCTCCTGTGTACGTGGAAACCATCTCTTGATTACCTAGCATGCCCATTAAAATGTAAATTATATGTAGCTAGTCGTTATAGTATAATTTTCAAGGGAATAATGACAATGATATTCTGTGCATATTCACAGAAGGAGGTTTTAAAATATTTTTGATCTGTGGTTCTATAAATTGACAGGCAGATAAGGAGGGTGGTTATATATTCTTAATTTTTTGCACAAAAAACTAATCTAGTTTGATCTACTACACCAAGGTTTATTTTAGTTGAGAATGGTATTTAGAAGCCAAGGTTTTAGTGTGTGTGTTCATTGCTGCTGGGGTGGTATTGCCGTTAGGCTTTTGCACTGAATAGAATTAGGAGATAGATCAACATACTTAAATGTTTCTACCAACTTCACTGTAAATTAAAAACTTTCACAATATTGGCTTTAAAAAAAATTAAAGTTGCTGGGTTCACACAGATGAGGACTGTGCAGGTCACTCATCCTCAAAGGCATTTTGGTGGCTTCTTTTTCAAAATGCATTTATATGAAAGACAAAGTTGGAGAGTGCAATACAGAGAGAGAGTGGCCACCTGCTGGCTCACTCCCCAAGTGGCCACATGGGCCAGGGCTGGGCCAGGCTAAAGCCCGAAGTTTCTTCCAGGTCCACCACGTGGGTGCAGGAGCCCAAGCATTTGGGCCATCCTCCTGTGCTGCTTTCCCAGACGCATGAGCAGGGAGCTGGAGCGGAAGTGGAGTAGCCGAGACTCGAACTGGAGCCCAAATGGGAGGCTGGGGTGGCAGGCTGTGGCTTTACTGGTTATGCCACAATGCCAGCCCATCCATGGTTTTCTAGAGGCATAAAACCATACAGGACTAAATCTCTGCCTATTTCTAATGGCAGCTTCCTGAATCTTTAAACATTGAATTCCCAAACTCCCACGTTCAAGAAAGCCGTCAGTTCCACTTACCCTTTCTCCTTTCCCGGCTCCAGTGGTGTTTGTCTTCGTCTTGCCCCAAGGATATTTGCAGAGTTAATTTTTCTTGAAAGTTCTTTCGTGGCAATAATCGGAGAACGCTCTCAGTAGAGCGTGTGGTGAAAATGTTGAATAAATAAGAGTGGTGCTGTTGGCAGCCGCACCGCTGACGGTCACCACGGCTCCTTTTAATTCAGAGGGCGCCAGCTGCACGTCAGCGAGGGAGTCTGACGCCCCCGGCACGGCGGCGGGGCCTGGGATCCACAGGATCCCTTTGGCGACGCTAAAGTTTCCGGGCGGGGTCAGCTTGAATCCACGCAAGGGGCCTCCGCCCGGTCAACTGGTCTGGCGTTTCTTCTGCAGCGGCTCAAGTACCAGGCATTGCCAGGTTTCTCCTCTGATCAGCGCCTCGGGCCGTGCTGGGAACAGGTGAGCCGGGTGGCCACGCCTTCGGGAAGCACGCAGGTGCTCGGCCCCGCCCTGGCCGCCGGCCCCTCCCCTCGCTGCCCCGTGCCGGTCGGTGCCCAGGTGCCTGCGCTCAGGTGCGCGGGCGCGCGTGGCTGCAGCTCCGCTCGGCACCCGACAGCGGGCGCCGCTGCAGCAGCAGCTCGCGGGCGCTGGAGCTGAGCGACTTCGGGAGTTGGGGCAGCTCCTCGCGCTCGGCCCTGCCTCGGTGGAGACAGCTCCGCCCGGGGCTCCTAGTTCCCCCCAGCTGTGGGCGCCAAGGGGGCGCACCGACCTTGGAGCGCCCAGGCGGTCCTGAGGTGGGCGAGGGGCGAGCTGCCCGGAGCGTGGAGAGCCAGGCCGGCTCGGAGCGTGCTGGAGACTCCCCAAGCGCCCGGCGCCCTGGCACCATGAGACCCGCCGCGCCTCCTGGCCGGCCCCGGGCTTTGCTCTGCGCTCGCTGAGCCCCTGCCCTCACCTCTGCGGAAACTCGGAAAGAGGCGAGACGCTGGAGAGCGCCGCGGGAGACGGACTCGACTTCCCCTCTGCCCCAGGAGGCTGCTGGTCCCGGGTTCCCTGGGCTTGTGTAGCTTAATCATGAACCTGGCGCACGCTTGCCTGTAGGAGAAATTGAGACGCCGGAGGGAGAGTCGCGGCAATTGCTTGGGTTGCTAAGGTAATTGCAGTTGTGACAGAAATGGGCAAGACACGAGTGGGGGAAAGACGGCGTAGAACACCTCCCTCCGCCCTGTGTGTGGACACCAGCTCCTGAGGGTGGGCGCCTGTCCATCTCAGACGCGTGACAGGTGCCGCGCTGTGTGCGTCTGCGGTGTGGGGCTGTGAGCTTACATAAGTGCCGGGGCAGGCTGGCGTGCCTGGACTCCTGTGGGATGGGTGCAGGTCGCCTGCCCGGGGGCAGGGGCCGTGCTCAGCCGCCGAGGCGGGAGCGCAGAGCCCAGGGGCTTTGAGCCTCGTGGTCTTGCGATTTCGTGAAAGCAGGTAGGGCTGCGTTGAACTCTAAAGCAGACGTGCGTTAACTTTTCTGTGCCTGCCACGCTGGCCCATTTGTGGTTGGGAAGGAAAGAAGGTGAGGAATCCCCGTGGTTGAGGCTGGTGACTTGGGGCCAGTGGTGGGAAAGGAAGCCGTAGGTGTAGGTGTCAGCCCAGGGAGGGCGGCAGTCGGCCCCTCCCACGGTGCCCAGGATGGCTGCAGAGACAGAAGTGAGCCAGAAAATTCAGTTTTGTATGGAGTGAAAGCTGGTGTGTCTCATTGCTTTTTTGAGAAATGCGGTGGAGTGGCAACCTTCTTTTCCCTTGCTGAGATAAACAGCAGTTTCTCTGCTATCGGAGATATTTTGGATCGTGTTGGCTTGGAATTGTTCCCTTGGTGTTTGTCATCACTTAGGGGCCAGATCTGTAGGTAAGTTCTAATCAACACTTTCTAGCAACCTCCAGGTAAAGCTACGGAAATAACCCAGCTTAGGTCAAAGCTAACTTTGGACACTGTCTGCAGAGTGGATGAGAGGTGGAAGGATAGGAAATGCACTTGAAGTGTCAGGTTCCTGCTGGAGGAGTTCCGTGTGTGTGTGTGTGTGTGTGTGTGTGCTGTCCACAGTGTTGGGCTGGGGGAACAGTTCGGTGCAGGTTCATAGGTCAGCAGCAAGGCTCCTCTGGGTCAGTGTTCATGGGCACAGGAGTGATTTATTTTTTTTTTTTCTGGAGCCGGAGCTGCGCTGTTGGTGGGACTGTGTGTGAGCTGCGTATTCCTCATCCTCGTTTGTCATCACGAGCTTTGCGATGGCACTAGCCTGGGAAAGAAGGTAGACGATGGGGAGGTTAGACTGCTTGGAGAGAGAATTGTAAGCCAGAGCCCATGTGCTGAACAGGGAAAGCCAAGACTGTCGGTGACTTCTCCCTGAGTCCTCTGCTAGGACCAAGCTGAGTTGCTGCATGAACCGGTCATGTCCTGTGCTGTAAACTGTGCATGGCCCGTTCCCGATACGGCACCTTTCCTGAAGGCATGTGCATCTGCTAGAACCACCAGCCACTGGGAGGTATTTCATATTCATGTTCCCTCCACTGCTTCCGCCTTGACTTCCTGGTTTCCTACAGGAATTGCACTTAACAGGCACTGAATTTGTATGACTGAGAATGTCAGTAAAGAAAAAAGGCTCGTTTTTCTTAAAAGCGACCAATTTGTCTCATTAGGTGAATGATTGAAGCAATGTTCTTGTGGCAGGCGTGTCTTTCAATGTGCCCTATTTTTCAGTTATTTTTGAGACATGGACTAGGAGAGCCAACATAGATGTTAAGTGAGCAAATACGTCTTGGAAAGTAGAAAGTTAAGGATACTTTGGACAGTGAAATTTGCCGGTGATTTTTGGATGCCTTTTTGTTCCATTGGAAGAGAAATGTACGTGAGAGCAGCATCATTCTGTTTGTAATCTCTCCCTTCTTCCCCCATGAACTCCTAAGACTTTGCCAGAAATTGCTAAACATTGTTTTGTGCCAGGGGTTACACATCAGGAAGACAAGAATAAGGAGCTGTGTGTCACAAGCCTTTTCAAAAGGGATGCTCTGACAGACCTCAATACTGGGATTAATTTTTCCTTTAGCTCCACAGTGAGCTTGTCTTAATTCTTAGTGCTTTGAACCTAGGAATGCATTTAACCTCTTCATTTTTGGGGCCAGCTGGAAGGAATACATTTACTGAATTTCATCTTCATTGTAACATATGGCCTCGTATAAATAATTACTATACCGACGGTGTCCTACTGTATGGTAAGAAATAGAACTACGAAATAAACCTTCGTGTTGAGTGACCGTGGACAAACCCCTTCCAAAACCAGTTGAACTTCCCCTCCCCACCCTGATTATAAAGGACATATTTAGCCACTGGGAAAAATTCAGGAAAATATGAAGAAAAAAGATGATCCGTAGTCTTCATGAAGGATGAGGCGTTGTGAACATTTCTTCAAATTGTGTTTTCTGCCAGGTATTATTCTGGTCGCATGATTCATCATTGCTATGCATTCCTAACTTCTCAAATTTTCTAAACAGAACTCGATGTGTGTGAAAGGTCGTGGGACATCACTAATTCATTGGGTGTCTATGGATGAGATCATAATCTTTGTCGGTGGTCCTCATTTTCAAAGCCGGTTGACTGCTTTTGAAATCCAATGATGAAGTGCTGTGTCAGTGATAACTGGGGCTCCCCTTCCGATTTAGGGACCCGAGCGTGAGGAAGCCCTGAGATGTGGTTGCACATCCTCCACCAGCTTCTCCCATGGCCTCTAACCCCTGTGTCTTCAAAGGACAAGTGGCACTCTGAGCGTGAGCTCCATCAGCTTGTGTGTCTGGGGCCCTCCCAGGTGATGCAGATGGTCTCTGCTGGAAGAGGGCTTCCACACACACACACACACACACACGCACGCACATACACACACCGTGGGGATGCACCCCAGAGGCTGTCATTCCGTCTGCCTGCACTGGGGCCCGGGAACTGACATGTCTAACGAGTCCCCAGATGGTTCTGGCTTGGCTGCTCTGGTCACACTGGGATCTTGGGGGTAAGCTCCTGGGCGGGGGTGAGAAGCCTGTTTCACTCTTCTTCCCGGTATTCAGCAATGCAGCTGCCAGGAGGTGTTCAGTTAGCAATGTCGGAGTCCATGACGGTTTTCTCCTTGTGGGGAAAACTTGGTGGTCGAGATTCGAGCAAACCATCATCCAGCATTGGAACCATTAAATGTGTATGATTAGTAGTAATGTCATGGAAACCCACTCCTCCCAACTGCCAGGAAAGCAAAACTCCTTACCAGTAGGCGGTTCAAAGGAACGCGAAAGCTAATGAGTTAGGTTAAATTGCTAGGAGCGTCTGCTGGGGGTGTTAACCTTGACGTTTACAGAGTGCTTCACGGTTGCCTCCCGAGACCCATGGGAAGCAATTCGTTTTCTCCCGCATACACATAGTCTAAAGCGGGAGGGAGGGAATGCACTACTAATGACCTCAGTTACCAAAGCAGCAAGTAAGGCAAGCGGTGGCTCAACCCCCTTCCCCCTGCAGATGGCGGAAAAAATGAAAAAAATGAAGCTGCATTGTATCCATAGAGCTAATAAGTGGTAGCACCGGAACCCAGGCCCAGGCTGCCTGTCACCAAACAGTGTTGCTCTGGACCGCTGTGACTAGGAACGGAGAGTAATTGTGTTAGAGAGCTTGGGGTTTCCAGCTGGCTGACATGCCTTACCTGGACTGGACCATCACTGTGTGGCTCCTTTTTGAATAGAAAATCCAGCTTCTACTTAACTGTTAAATATAGGGCATAGAGAAGATTTGGTATTGGGAAATTTAAAGATAGAAATATAGGAAGATGAAAACAGGTGCTCCTCTAACTGAGGCTATTAAATGAGTTGTGGTAGAGGTTAGCTGTCTTGGCTTCTCTAAGTAAAATCATCAAGGGAAAAGCCACTTTTATTTATTTAAAGTCAGAGTTATACAGGGAGAGAAGGAGAGGCAGAGAGAGAGGTCTTCCATCCGCTGGTTCACTCTCTAACCGGCTACAATGGCTGGAACTGTGCAGATCCAAAGCTAGGAGCCAGGAGCTCCCTCTAGGTCTCCCCCATGGGTGCAGGGGCCCAAGGACTTGGGCCATCCTCCAACGCTTTCCCAAGCCATAGCAAAGAGCTAGATTGGAAATGGAGCATCTGGGACTCAAACCAGCGCCCATATGGGATGACGGCATTGCAGGCGACGGCTTCACCCGCTATACCACAGCGCCAGCCCTGAAAAGCCACTTATAAATGGTTGCATGCTAGGGTGCCCTTCTTCACTAGTATCTGTCTAGTGAAGAATAACCCAGGAGGCTATTTTTTAGCCCATGTGTTGAGGTTAACTGAGACCTGGCCAGCTCAGAGCCCAGACAGAAAAAGCTGTTGTTGACTGTTAAAGTAGCACAACAGGATTCTAACTCCCTGGTCACTGGGCTGGCTGAGTTACTGACTTGGAGAGTGACAGCAGTGGGGGAGGGGCAACAAGGGGAAGGTTGGGTTAGTGCAGGTGCAAATGCTTGGACTGGTATGAGTGTAGATGCAAGGTACAAGTGGGTAAAAGCCTTATTCTTACTGCTGGCCTAACTTACCCTGGTTAGATGCATTTTTGGGTTGATAAGACAACGTGATCTCCATCCTGTGTGGTGTTGGTCTCCTCCATTGTGCTGTGATCTACTTATGTGGCCTTTTAGATTTGTTTCAGTTTTGACCCTAGTTTGACCTCTATCCCAGCACACAGTCTTACACGTATGAGGGTGCCTTAGAAAGTTCATGGAAAAATGGAGTGAAAAGATAAATTTGTTGGGGATGTAGAACTTCTTGAAATGCATACATAACTTTTCATACTAGACATTTTCAATGAATTTGTTGTAGACTCCTTTACAGTAAACGTTTGATTAAAAATTGCTTGCCTGGGGTCAGTGCTGTGGCATGGTAGGCTAAGCCTCTGCCTGTGGCATCAGCATCTCTTATGGGTGCCGGTGTGAGTCCCAGATGCTCCTCTTCTGATCCAGACATTTCTGTCTCTCCCTTTCTTTTCGTAACTTTGCCTCTCAAATAAATAAATGAATGTTTTAAAAAAAATTGGTTGTCTAAACAAGATATTACCCATCTTTTTTTTTTAAAGGATTT